CGGATGTCAGAGCCAGCAGCCCCAGCGCAGCTCCTGCGAAACATCAGATGTAATTGTGGTGGCAGATGTGATACACGATCTTGCACCTGCTTCAAGAACGGTCTTCAGTGCACTCCAGCGTGCGGCCAATGTAAAGGCATTGTGTGCCTAAACTCTCAGCGAGTGGATCGTGAGGATTTTGATGCTGCTGCTGATGATGATATCTGACGTGAACTTTAATTTCTTCTAGATTTATAAGTAGAATTACGAGTATTGCAAACATATCAAATTTTGCCCCATCTGAAAGAAAAAAAGGGAATGTGTTTCGTGAAGGAAGAGTTGTGGTATGATACACTGGCTAACTTTTATAAAGCCTGCAAGAAACACATTTTAGTTAAGCAATAAAAATAATTTCCAGTGTCTTTTACGGTCCTTTTTTATATGAAGAGCTGTCCCCTTGTAAATGGGTTTTATTGCTTTTATAAAAAGATTTTACACATGAAGATAATGTTAAATAATCTAAGTATCTAGTATTTGGAATTTATTTGCTTTTCTGTGGAAAATGGTGCCTAATACATATCTAAATATGCTTGACGGCGGCCATCTTGGATTTGGCGGCCATCTTGGATTTGGCGGCCATCTTGGATTTAACAACTTTAAAAAAAATATCATTTGCAAGCTCAGATTTCGATTCAATGCCGGTTTTACATGTACTGATAGGCAATAAACATGCCTAGAGGCTTAACTCCACCAAGTGTAATTGTGTAACTGTTTTATTTTGTTTTTTGTTCAAAAATGGCGGCCATCTTGGATTTGGCGGCCATCTTGGATTTTCGATGGTCGAAATAAAGAGGTTGCCATGGTCGGATTCGGGTGGATTTTTATGTGTGTACTATTTGGACGCATATAAACAGATTTAAGGTGAATGGGCTTTGTTACGAATTTTGTCGAACCTAAGTCATTCGTTTACTGGACTAATTGGACGCACCGAGGGTGGCTGGAAGTTTGCTTGGTGAGTTCGGGCGAAAAGCAGGTGAGCTCGGCAAAAAGCAGGTGAGCTCGACGACAAGCTCACCTGCTCTAAACCAATCAGAAAGCCGCTTTTAACACAGGTATGTACCGTGGCTCTGAAGGGCCATGCCATGACATGGTATATTTTTTAAATTTGTTCCCCCCAAAAAATTGACTGTTCAAGTTATACTTACTAGAAAATACATGCATGCATGCAGAAACCCTCGCCTTGCTGACAAAACCATTGTATTTTCCGAACATGAAGTTCCAAAGTAGTTGTCATGGTAACACGATAATTTTTTAAGAATATTCTTACAAATGAAAAATCGCCTAAAAATATCACTTTTAATTACAAAATTATTAATTTCCCAACATAAATATATGTTAGGTATGTTATTATACGTAATATAAGCCTCAATTTAAGGTAAAATTCAACCACAAACGCTACGCAAAACGTTTTAAAATCACTAGTGTTCTTTATAAAACTAAACTGCCTTTTAATTAAAATGGCTTTATCGATAAACTTTGAGTTTGCAATAAAATGATTTCAAATTCTCGCTTGCAAATAACTCAGTGCTTTCTTTTTTATTTAGAAATTCAATATCATATTAAAAAAGGGAATCAAATTAGTTGTTTCATATACGCAAAGGCCGTCTGGTTTTAAAGCCATTATAAAATCAATATTTAAAACAAACTTACCTTCGTTAACGTCGGCTCCCTTCTTTTAGCCGATTCTTTCGCAGTTTCATTTTGAGAGAGCTTTTGAAATTTACAAAATCTTGCAAAAATGCGAGTAAAAATGAAGTATATTTGCAAGAAATTTATCAATCATCAAATCAAGATTCAAGAAATGTTTGCTATTTCGCTGTCGTGATGCAGTCGTGCCAGTCGTTATAATGCAAAATTTAAACTGGACCAATCAGTGTCCGCTATTCATGACAGTCCGCCATATTTTTGAGATCAGTGAGGATGACCACCCATCGTTGATCACCCACGCCCGCGATATTTGATGAACTTTAGACTCCGCTAATGCTTTCGTTTCCCCGGGTGTAAATAGCCGGGGGGAATTAGTACCCTCGCACGGCGCTTCGCGCCGTCGGCTCGGGGATAAATAAGATCTCGTATTGTTCAAATTTAATTTAAACTGAAACTTTTCCTTTAATTGACTTACAACTCGCAATTCTGACTTATAACACGGAATTCTGACTTATAACTCAAAATTCTGACTTATAACACGGAATTCTGACTTATAACTCAGAATTCTGACTTATAACACGGAATTCTGACTTATAACACGAAATTTTGACTTATAACGCAGAATTCTGACTTATACCTCGGAATTCTGACTTATAGTTATAACACGGAATTTTGATTTATAACTCAGAATTCTGACTTATAACTCGGAATTCTGACTTATAACACGGAATTCTGACTTATAACATGGAATTCTGACTTACAACGCAGAATTCTGACTTATAACACGGAATTCTGACTTATAACACGGAATTCTGACTTATAACACGGAATTCTGACTTATAACGCAGAATTCTGACTTATAACACGGAATTCTGACTTACAACACGGAATTCTGACTTATAACGCGGAATTCTGACTTATAACACGGAATTCTGACTTATAACACGGAATTCTGACTTATAACACGGAATTCTGACTTATAACTCGGAATTCTGACTTATAACAACGGAATTCTGACTTATAACTCAGAATTCTGACTTATAACACGGAATTCTGACTTAAAACACGGAATTTTGACTTATAACACGGAATTTCGACTTATAACTCGGAATTTTGACTTATAACACGGAAGTTTGACTTAAAACTCAGAATTCTGACTTATAACACGGAATACCGACTAGTAGGCCCAACTCGACATTCTGACAGAGATCATCAAAAATCACATGCATTTCTCCATTCTTTCAAACACAATGGCTTGTCGCGACAAGTTAATTCTTCGGATATTGATATGGTTTGTGCTTGTGGAAGCTGGGGGGGGGGGGGCATTTGCCCCCCAGTCCCCCCTTGTGCCCCCCCCCCCACGAAATCACATTTTGCCCCCACAGGAAAAGTCCCTTTTTCCTAAAATTATACAAACAATCCAGCGAAGATTAACAAATAGATAAACGGAAAGTAAGTTTTAGACTTTATCCTTTGTTCTTGTTTAACAAAATCGATTTAAATTGTTACTTTTTTTACCACTAAGCCATGATAAATTATTGTTAATATTTTTTTTTTTTTGTTGGATGCTCAGAATGCAGAAAATAGCATTTCACGGTTTCAAATTTCAAATATTTTCTTGGGATTATCCCTCTAATAAGTAATGATAAATTACAGTTAATATTCTTTTTTACTTTTTGTGCATTTTTCCATCTTTTATTTCAAATACAAGTATAGTTAGCATAAATTTTAGAGCAAATTTGGATGCTCAGAATGCAGGAAATGGCATTTCCGTGGTTCAAATTTCAAAAATTTTCTGGGGGAGTACACCCCCACACACCTGACCATTGCTATCCTCCTCTAATAAGTAATGATAAATGATGGTTAATTTTTTTTTACTTTTTGTGTGTTTCTTCCTTTATTTATTTCAAGTACAAGTATAGTTAGGATAAATTTTGGAGCAAATTTGGATGCTCTGAATGCAGGAAATGACATTTACGGGAGTCAAATTTAAAAAATTTTCTGGGGGAGTACAACCCCAGATCCCCACCCCCATCCATGCGTGGTATATTTTCCACACATGTGGCTTTCAGCCATTGCTATATCCCCCTCTAATATATTATCTCACAGAAAGGTCCCTTTTCAAAAAATGCCCCCCACGGGAAAATCCTTAAAAAAGGTTTCCTTTTATCTTCCTGCCTTGATGACAGGCAGTCCAGGCCGCGATAGCTTAATCGTACGCTACTTTGAGCTTGGATTTTCATACAAAGAAATAATAGCGTTCCTTAGCGCCTATCATAGCATACGAATATCCTTGCGTCATCGTAAAAGGATATTATCTTCAAAGAGATGTTACAGAAGAAAAAATCACTCAAATATTCGTGAAGTTGTTGATGGAGTAGAAAGAGAACTAGATGGAAGTGTTGGTGAAGTTGGATACAGGCATATGCATCAGAGATTGCTCACAAAGCATAAGCTTGTTGCATCAAGAGAGACTGTGCGAAAAACGATAGCTGCCCTAGACCCTGAAGGAGTGAGCCAACGTTCGATGAGAAGATTTAGACGCCGTGTGTACCCTGTAAGAGGTCCAAATGATATGTGGCATATCGACGGATACGACAAGTTAAAACCCTTTGGATTTGCTATACATGGTGCAATAGATGGATACAGCAGGCGAATTCTGTGGCTGCATGTGGGGCAATCGAATAACGACCCTCTAATAATCGCGCAGTATTTTGTAGATTACATTAGAGGCATAGGTGGTACAGCTCGTAGGATTCGTGCCGATTGCGGAACAGAAAACACCCATGTGGCACAAATACAACGTTTTCTACGAAGAAATGATGTTGACAGCTTTGCGAAAGAGAAACGTTTCATTTATTGAAAATCAGTGGCCAACCAAAGAATAGAAGCGTGGTGGTCTATTCAACGACGTTGGGGAATTAACTGGTGGATTAACTACTTTTAGTTAAAGACCTTCGCGATAGAGGTAATTTTCCGGTTAATTTAGCTACTACAAAACTGTTCAAATCCAAAGGGTTTTAACTTGTCGTATCCGTCGATATGCCACATATCATTTGGACCTCTTACAGAGAACACACGGCGTCTAAATCTTCTCATCGAACGTTGGCTTACTCCTTCAGGGTCTATATAGGGAAGCTATCGTCTCTCTTGATGCAACAAGCTTATGCTTTGTGAGCAATCTCTGATGCATATGCCTGTATCCAACTTCACCAACACTTCCATCTAGTTCTCTTTCTACTACATCAACAACTTCACGAATATTTGAGAGATTTTTTCTTCTGTAACATCTCTTTGAAGATAATTGATCTTTT